TATCTTTGGCAGTATCCTTCTTAAGAATGGTGTCAAGAACGGTTCGGTCGATCGCCTGGAAGAGATAGTTCTTCACTTTCAGGTCCTTCAGCTTCAAATCATCATTCTTCTTTCGTTGTGCATCTGTCTGCACAGAGTCACTTGCTGGCTCAATATAGCCAGGCTCCACCAGCCCCCAAAATTCCTTAGATCGTAGAAAATTTTCCATTAGCATGCTCCAATGGTCATAGTGACCATCAAAGCGAGGAATGGCTGGCTGTATAAAACTCCCTTCTGTAGTCATCTTCTGTGCTGCTGCAAGAACTTCAAAGACTGCTGCTTTGATTATTTGTCAGGCCCAGTGGGGGCTCTGATACCAGAATGTTGGGAACTTTGACCTAAAAGAAACTAAGAACAAGAACACAACATGCTGGATTGAATGACTTGGTTTTATTAATAATAACTTGGGCTTAAATAGCCATTCAATACACGATCTTAACAGAAACGAGAAAGAAGCCCACTTAGCGGAAATAAAGCTAAGTGGTAACAGAAAACTTGGAATTCAAATACAAGTAGATGTCCCTAAATACTAGGACATTATTCTAACAGAAACGTGCAGTAAACTCCTTCAATTACAAGATGGGTTTCCACAGAAGTGGTCTATGTTGGTTAAGGAATTAACTTTTGGAGACATGGGGAAATAAATACTTATATTTTCTGGAGAAATACAGATAAACAATGGGTATTTCATAATCCTTGGAAACTGGGTGGATTGCAAAGTCCATCTAATAAGCTTTGCGGCAAAAACTTGTTGAGGGTTGTTTAGTTAAAATCTTTGTGTGAACTGAGGAAGTCATGTTGCTGTACAAAGCTTGGTGTGGGGGACCATGTGGATGTTATGATTACTAGCTTATATAGTCATGCCTAACACCATACACGCTTAATGGCAGTACATGTGGAAATGGCAGTACATGTGGGCTTGGTAGGTATTCCATGACTTGAACGAACCACTGCAAAAAAGTGATCACAACTTCTAGTATAAATACTGTGTCTGAGAACTAAGCAGCATATTTAGATATATATGTAAGGTATAATATATGAGATATCAGATCATCAGCATGCCATTAATATATGAGATATTGGCAATGTTAAAACTACTCCTTCTTGTGCTCTTTTCAGCGGCTTCTCTGCAAGCTATCACCACTCATGGGCAACCATATGACTACCTACAATATGTACTACAATGGCAGAAGACGAAATGCTTGAAGGTCGGGCGACGGTGCACTCCAAGGCTTCAACCATATGAGGAGTTCACTACTCACGGCCTCTGGCCAACCAACCTCTCCAAGATGTTGACATGCAAATCAGCTTCAAAATTTAGCAGCACTATGGTACGTATATATTTCTTAATTTCTTAAATCTTTTTATTCTTTCTTTAATGTACTTTATATTCATTCCTTTTATTTACAGTTTTCATTTATGATCGATTGATCTCATATCGCCAAATCTAATTATAGCTTTCTATCTTATAATAATATAATTAATTAGCTGCAAAATAATGCTTCATTGCTATCGAAGATGGAAAATTCCTGGCCAAATCTGGAGCAGAGAGTTGCCCAAGGAAAAGGCAATAATATGTGGTTTTGGGCGATGGAGTACGAAAAACACGGTACATGTGCCAAGTTTTCTAGCCAGAATACTTACTTGTCAAAAGCATGTGATTTGTGGGAAGAAAACAAGATTAAGGAGATTTTTGAGCACCACAAAATCATTCCAAGAAACGCGACGTATAAAGATGTTTTGCTTATGAATGCCATTCAAATGGAAACTCGCAGTTCTCCTCTCCTTCTTTGCCATAGAATCAACGGCGATTATTTGTTGTGGGAGGTTGTCCTCTGCTATGACGACACGGCTAAAAAACGGATGAATTGTTCTGATCAAAGTGCAAGACAAACAAATTGCGGAACGGACATCTATTATAAATAATAATAATAATAATAATTAGAGTATTACAAGTAAATAAAAGATATCGAGGAAGCTGCAGATTTTAAAAGTTAGTTCTTAACAATGGATATTGAGGATGTCCTTAACAGATATTTCCAAGTCAGTCACTCAACAATAATTATAAATACAAAACTATATATAAATTTATCTTATGAGTGATATTTTAACTTTTTAATTTTAGTTGTTTGTGCAAAACTATAGATATTTTAGAAATTACACTTTACTTCATTACTCTCAGAATATCAATACAGATCATGAGGTGTTGCCATTGCACATAAAAAAACATATATAAATTTAAATATATCCATACTTGAAATATACATAGTAAATTTAGGTTTTAGCCCCAATATACATTAAACATTTCCATGAATCACAATCTTTCCAATCGTTTTATTAGTCCCTGAATTTTGACCCGATTTGCATTTGAGTACCTCAATTTCCAAAATGGTTCCCATGGTCCTTTAACTTTAGTTTCGTTTGGACAAATGATCCTGCTGTCAATTTTGTTAACATTTTCTGTTAAATGTAGAGACGAAATGGTATTTTTATATTAAAACCAAAAAAATGAATAAAAAATCATATTTTTAAAATAGCAATAAAAGAAAATCAAATTAAAAAACCAACAAAAATAAAGAAAAATAACGTTTGAGGGGAGTAGAAATCGGAATACAGGGGGAGAGAGACAGTTTAATTTGAATATTTTAGTTTTTTAAATTTTTTATTCATATTTTAATCAATTTTGATAAAAAAAATACCATTTTGCCCCTGAATTTAACAGAAAAATTAACAAAATTGACGATATGACCATTTGTCTGAACGAAACTAAAGTTAAAGGACCACGGAAACCATTTTGGAAATTGAGGTACTCAAATACAAATCGAGTCTAAATTCAAGGACTAATAAAACAATTAACCCTCCATATATTATTTATTCTTGTCTATATATGAGCAAAATACTTGAAAAAAAACATGTAAAATGAAGGGGGATGCTAATAGTTCAAACTCAAAGCCACTCTAACATATGACTTGCTCATTCATCTCGAACTTTTTCCAATTGCGTTTTGGTGTAGCTGTCCTTTCGTTTCATAAGTCTCACATATTGAAATAAACATGAAAAGAGCGTATAAAATGGTGAGGGCCTGCAGTGCTCCGCTTGGATCTGGCATTTTCAAACCCATATCAAATATGAGAACATGCAAATTAAGGCTGGACATCTAAAGCCGAAATACCGAAACCATACACTAACTATACCGTACCAAACCGATTTCATACAATTTCATTTGGGATGATGAGATATTCGGTATGATGTTGTACCGTATCAAGGGAGTATGATATGGTAGCGGTATCAAATATTTGGTACCGTACCATACCGAATACCTTAAGTATAATTTTTTCATCTCTCTCTCTCTCTCTCCCCTTGTTCTTTGTTTGGTTGCTGTTGCTGTAGAGCAGTGTAGTGTCTTAGATTGAGATTTCCCTGATAAGTACTATATAAAAAAATCTTCAAATCCAACAGATACAATCCAAAACCTCACCCAAACCCACCTAGCCAAATCTATCTATCTCTCCCCTTGTTGTTTATCTACATGAAAACCCTAACAACATTCACCTTTTCCAAATTCCAGAATCAGATCCAACCAACAACATTTAAAATCCAACTACCCAAACCCACTTCTTTAAACCAAATAACATTAACCAACGATCTAACCTCAACGCTCTTCAAAACCCCCCAAGTCAGAAAGTAGACAAAGATTCACCTATTCTAGCTGACAACACCATCGTCCATGCCTGCTAGCTACTATACACACACACACACACATATATAAAATATACGTGTATATTAGGTAGGTGCTACAACCACAAAGACCAAAGTGCATGCCTTGTGTTGTGTTTCTTCTTTGTGGTAAGGTAAGCCTCAAGCACCTAGCTTCCTTAGAATTCTGGATATTGATTTGGTTGATTAGGATTTTGATATTGAATATGTTGAATCTTTGAATCTATAACTTAGGCATCACTTATTTTCGTGAATGAATTTGTTGAATATTGAATTGGTTGATTTTTGAGTTGTGCAATTTTGGTACCAAAATGGTACCGTTTCACACACGATACAGATTTGGCACAGTATGGTACGGTACCAACTTTGGCAAACGATAATCCCATACCGTACCAAACTGATTTTAATTTCTGCTATCGGTAGCGGTACAACCTCAATACCGTACCGTATCGTACCATGCCCACCCCTAATGCATATAGTTGGAAAAGAAGAATAACATAAGACCGCATGCACCTCTTATATAGCAGTAGTAAGCCTTCATAATATTTGCTTCACTATTTCAAAAATAAAACAGAGAGTGAGGTTGCAGATAAAACTAAGTACAACCCCAAGAAACTTGTTTTGAAAAGAATGAAAGAAACTTTCTTACGAACCAAAAGGACATCCCCATAAACCAAAAAAGCAAATTGCAGAGTAAGAGAAAAACCCAAAACTTTTTCAACGATCAATGACAACAAGCAAGTACTCGTTTACAAGTTGGGAAATTTATGAAACAGCAGAAATGTAAATAATTTCTGAATTTCAAATTCTGTGAAATTTAAACAAAGGACCATTTGGGGAAGCTGCATATTTTAAAATTTAGTTCTTAACAATGGATATTGAGGATGTCCTTAACAGAAAATTCCAAGTCAGTCACTCAACAATAATTATAAAGAGAAAAAAGTATTAATTCTTTCTACAGAATACTTGCATACGTAAAATCATTTGGTTTTTGAAGAATGCCTTATGTCACGGGTCGCACATAGACAAGTGCTACCGTGACTCCGTTGGGACATCTATGCGCTTAGGAGGGAGTCTAAGCGTGGAAGGGCGAGAGCTTAAGAGCTAGAATGGTTGGTGTTGGCCAAGTTGCACTTGTGAAGGGTATTTTGGGTATTTTCGAAGGTTACGGGAGGAACCTGAAGGAACCAAGAATACCGAAATGTTCGTGATGTCGAGACGCAGGATACGCAACTGACGGTTCGCCATTCGGAGTTCGTATGAGGAAGTTATGCCCAATTATGACTCCTCGTGCATAGGTGATGTTCCCTCCTGGCAGAAGGCTAAATGCATAAAATGCTATATAGGGGGTGACATGGTGTCATGCTCTCCACCACCCCTGGTGCTTACACCCTTGTGGCACTAAGCGAGCATCCTTATGACATTGGAGGTTGTCATAAGGGCGGGCATACGATTGTTGAAGGATAATCGGTGTCTCCGAGGGAAAGGAATTCCCGAGGACAGTACGAACACGCGGGGCCGTTCGTA